AGTCGCAAACTTTACAGTAAGTTTGCTGCAAACACTATAGTCGCAAACTTTCCAGTAAGTTTGCTGAAAACACTATAGTCGCAAACTTTCCAGTAAGTTTGCTGAAACACTATAGTCACAAACTTTCCAGTAAGTTTGCTGAAAACACTACAGTCTCAAACTTTCCAGTAAGTTTGCTGAAAACACTACAGTCTCAAACTTTCAGTAAGTTTGCTGTAAACACTATAGTCACAAACTTTTCAGTAAGTTTGGTCAGCTGAAAACACTACAGTCTCAAACTTTACAGTAAGTTTGCTGAAAACACTACGGTCTCAAACTTTCCAGTAAGTTTGTCAGCTGCAAACACTACAGTCTCAAACTTTACAGTAAGTTTATCAGCTGAAAAGACTAAAGCATGGATGAACAACTATCAGTGAAGTGTGTTAAAAAAAACAATTTTTAAAACATACATCTTCAGAAACCTCTTTTTATCTATCAATCTGTAGATCATAGTTCCTCTAATCACCTACAATCATTGCTGGTTTAAAAATGGAGCACGTGCCCCAGAAAAAATGAAGTTGCTATCCTGCGAGCACTAAATATGGATGAGATTATATCATTAATATAAGTCAAAAAACAAAATGTTGTGTGTGTAAATTCCAGGTAATACAAAGAGGGGATCGTTGATTGTCTTGCTATCCAGCACCAAGTTACTGGTATAAAATAGTTTTAAGAAGGGTGTTAAATTACAGTAGATTGTTCTTTAAGTACATACAGGATGTGACAAAACTTTCATTTTGAGTTAAATAATCATTTGGAAAATTATATGTGAAATCTGTTATCTTTTAGGCTTGATCCTGGGTTATACAAGGGTTGCAGGAAAGAAGCAATTGAAGTGTGTAATGCAAAACAAGATTGGTGGGACAAACCTGAGAAGATGGATCCAGATCGAGGCCCACTTATCTTGCACTGTCTCTACCAGCATGCTTACCATCCAGATGAAAATTTTAAGGTTTGTAGTGCTTTACACTTGTTTAGAAGGTCTGTTGTTGCCAAAAATCACGTTTTTAATAAAGTATTTGTTTAAAAGTAATATGAATTTTCTTCCATGACAAAACATCAGGTCAGTCTTACTTTTCTTCCATGAAAAAACATCAGGTCAGTCTTACATTTCTTCCATGACAAAAAATCAGGTCAGTTGGAAGAAAAGTAAGACTGACCTGATGTTTTGTCATGGAAGAAAAGTAAGTGACAAAATATCAGGTCAGTCTTACTTAATCTAGAGAATATGGAAATGATGGCTAAATATTTTGGTGACTCAGATGTGAGTGAAATCCTTGTTTGTTAAATGTTATTGTTAAGTTTATCATATTTAAACAATGCACATAAATAAAATAACTTGTAATTAAATTAAAACAATCTTAATAATATGTTAATGAAAATCGATGAAGTTGAAACTAAGTGAGTATGTAAAATTTAACAATATAAAAAATTAAAATTCTAAGATGAACTATTTTTAATAACATTTCAAAAGAGTGTCTTGCAGTGGAAGGTTTACTGGTGGGACAGCGATAAGTTTACAGAATTATGATGCAAAATTTCAGGGTTTGATTCCCCACAGTGGACACAGCATATGGCCCAATGTGGCTACAAAAAAAACAACAAATAAACACAACGAAAGTTTGGAAATTTCATGAAATAGAAAACTTACTGAAAACTAATTTATGAATTTTTGTAAGCCAAAACTATATATTTTTTAGTACGTTTCGTGCAATTTGGTTAAATATTTTCACTGTAAGAAGGAAAGGGTTAAAACATATGTATTTGCTCAGCATCTTTTATCTTAATCTATTCTGAAATGCCTGAAAACAGCCGAACATGAAAACTGAATGTCACATTTTGCCTTTGTTTACTCAGTAATATCAACTTAATGCTCTACAATACAAACTGAAATTTTATGCGTCGTCTGCAAGATCGTATGATGATGTAGAATTGCATTACTTACACATTTTGTTGCATCTCGTAAAAAAAATGTCGTTACACGTTCTATCATGTTGTAGATACACACTGAATAAACTTTTATATATGACTCTTGCTGTGAAATTGCATTATTATCCAACTGTAGATGTGAGGTTCACGTATATCAAAAACTTAATCATGAGGATATTACCTGTATTTGAATAATTGAATGATGCTATTTATTTATAGATACAACATGATTGTATAGTTCACATATTGCATCATTCTCTAGGATAAGCAGGGAGATGTCACTTTGGTGGTTTGAAACCATTGGGTATTTCTGTAAATATAAGTATGTATCTGGTTGTTTCAGCTTACACGAGACTGTCTTTACCAAGTGAGAAGAGTGATGAGGCAGCGAGCGGTCAGTGTGAACCTGCATCCTGAAATAGAAGAACCGTGTTTGAATGACCTCTCCAGGTTTTGTAGTGAAAATGTTGAGAAAGGCGAGGTATGAT